AATGTGTCAAATGAAAGCGATGGAAGGCTCCTCTGGTCTACAAAGGTTGTCACCAGCATACTGTGATCACTGGCTTTCAGTTTATTTTAAAAAGTTCTTTTTGTTTAATCACTCTGAAGGACTGGGGATAAAGTTCAGTTGGCAAAGTGCTTGATTGCCATGCATAAGGTTCAGTCCCAATACCCCATCCACGAGGCACGGAGGCACCCTCCTGTAATACCCCGTGCACAAGGCACAGCGGCACCCTCCTGTAATACCCCGCGCACGAGGCACGGCGGCACCCTCCTTTAATTTCAAAAGGTGAAGGCAGGAGAATCACAGGTTCAAGGGCAGCTGCCACATAGAGAGTTCAAGGGCAGCAAGATCTGTCTCCAAAACAGACAAACAAAAGTTACAAAATGTGTACTGCTCTTACTAGCAGCAGGTCTCCACAGTGGCTTTAGTAATCTGCAGTTGGTTCACTGCCTGTAGTAGTTTTCTTCAATGTCAGAGACTGCTTAGTAGCCATATGGGTTTAGATTAACAAAGAGTTGAGGCCAGCCTAGACTACATAGTAAAACTTTGTCTTTAAAAAAAAAAAGAAAAGAAAGAAAGAAATTAAAATTTAAAAGATTTACTCATAATGAAATTTAAAGCAGATACTAATTTTTTAATTTCAGAGTGGATATTTAGCAAGTAAAGTGGCTACTTGAAACTTCTACTTTTCAGTAGTCATTTTTCACTCATAAGTTAGCTTGATCCTTCTGCTTGGATTTCACTAAACTCTGTTACTAAAATTCTGTCTGTGTTAGGTCCATTTTCTCTCTTTGGAAAATAGGCAAGGTTAGTCTTTCCTATGGAACTTTTTTTGTTTTTAGTATGAAATGTTTGATGGCAGCATTAGCTAATTTGAGTTCCACCTGTAACCTTGAAATGGTTACCAAGCCAGAATGTGTTGTAACAACAGTAATGAACTCATTCTTAATTTCTCACATGTACAGTACCAGTACCACAGTTTTATTAGTGTCTAAATTATGCACCTTTTTGGAGGAAGTATTTCTACCACAAGTAAGCTCTACATTTCATGCTCATTCTGACTTAGCTTTTTTTATTAGTAGGTTTTGTTACTTAACGACGTCATATAATGCATTCTGGTTACCCAGCCTCACTTACTGCCCATCCACTCCCAGCCCCTGCCCCACTGCTTTCTTACAGTTCTCTTTCCACAATCACAACTCTATCTTGTTTTGTGTCCCACAAGACCATCTGTGTGACTGTGGGTTTGGAACTGTCCGTGGGAGCCTAATGGGCTCACTAGTGGGTTCACAGCTGGACACTGCCTCTCCCAGAATCTGATTGTCTTATATAGAATACATTACTATAATTTTTTGTTTCCATAACCATAAAATTGAGCCACGAGTGAATTTTAGAAAATTTCTGAATATTGTAAGGAATCTATCAAGGAGAACAATTCTAAAGTGACTTATTTTACCCCACCTTCAATTGGCTAACCTTTTGCTATCTGTTGCTGTAAATGCTGAGTACTAAAGTTCACAGTAGTGTAGCATGATGAGTGGTGAATCTACAGTGAACATGCTAAGAACTTTCTAGGCCATTTAACAGCTATTTCTGTCTTTGGATAGCTGCCTTCCTATTCCCTACAGCAGATATTTAGCATTCTTTAAACATAAAAAAGGAAAAACTAATTTCATTAACTTAGTATACCTGAAAACACAACTTTAAAAGAAATTAGCAGTGGCAGTAAAATAGTGGTGATAGGTGGCTACCATGTTACCTTTATACCGTGTTAAAAAGTCCAGGTACTACTGTACATAGTCTCTAACCCTTTTAAGACATGTACCTATATGCTGCATATGAAGAAATAGAAACTGTATCCCTTGCTTAGCTTTTAAATAGTAGCACTGAATCCAGACTTGCTTTATGTTTCTAGAATAGCTAGCAAGTGCATGCTAATTTTTCACAATCTTGTAGACATCCTTTGGTCCTCTGCCCACCTTGTTGCCCTGTATGTAACTCTCCTTTTTTTTTTTTTTTTTTTTTTTTGTAAAGCATAGTCTTGCTATGGATGCTTCCTACCTTAACCTGTTAAGTGCAGAGATTACAAACATTCAGCACCACATCAAGCCTGTTGTTGTTATTGTTGTTTGTTTTGAGACAAAAAGGGCTGCTTTCTAGACTAGGCTAGCCTTGAACTCGCCTGTCTGCTTCTGTCTGTCAGTTGCTGGGATCAAAGCTTCTCAAAAAGTGTGTTTTATGTTCATAGGAACTTAATGACCTTTCATTTACTTCTCAGCCATTCTGATCTAACTTCCACTTCATGGCCAGTCAGGTCCTCCAGAGAAGCCAACTTGATGATGGGTGAACATGGGTGCACATGGGTGCACATGCATGTCTGTGAGATGACCTGTGTAAGATAGAGTATTGAGTAAGAGTTGGCTCATGAGATTATGCATGCAGCAAGTCTGAAGTTTGAGGCTAGCAGACTGGAAACTCGGACAATATTCCTGTGTTACAGACCAAAGTAGGCTTTCTTTCTCAACTGATTGTACAGGACCTGCCTGCACTGTTAAAGCTAATCTCCTTTTCCTAAGGTCAGTTGTTATTTTTTTATTTATAGCCCTGGCTGTAACAGAACTCATTCAGTAGACCAGGCTGGCCTTAGGCTGGCCTTAGTATGACCAGACCATAACTCCTTAGGTACAAATGAAAACAATAACCAAGTCATTTTAATGACTGTAGATTCCGTTGTCTGCTGAACCCCACATAGCTGTATGTTTGACAGATACCTTAGACTTCCTGAAATTTCCTCTAAAATACATTTTTTATTTCTTTTCTATCTTAAACATAGTTACTTTTTCACTCAGTGACACAAGACAGGAACCCATCTCCTCCCCTATACTGTATAAAACCACCTCTGCAATCTCAGCCAAGATAGCTCCATCCTGATTCTCTCCTGCCTGGAATCTTGCTTGTTGATCTCTATCTGACCTCATGACACTGCTGCAAAGTGGGGTTTTAAACATGCAAATCTAGGGCTAGAGAGATGGCTGAGTTAAGAGCATTGCTGCTCTTCCAGTGGAACCAAGTTCAGTACCCACTTGAGGCAGCTCCTAACTGCCTATAACTGACATGCCAGAGAATCCAAAACCACCTTCTGACATCCTCATGGATGTCACTCACGGGCACAGACCTATGAATCAATGTATAGCGCAATTAAAAATAAGAATTTTTTTAAAATGCAAATCTTAGCATTGATGAAATAGCTCAGTGGGTAAAGGTCCTTGCTGATCAAGGACCTTGCTGGTCCAAGCCTGATGACCTAAGTTTAATCTCCAGGATGACACCATAGAGGGAAAGAGCTGACTCTAGTGAGTTTTCTGACTATACACACGTAATCAGATGTGAGAAATAAGAACAGAAATGCAAATCAGCATTGTGTATAACTCTTTCAGTAGCTTTCAGTTGCCCAAAGAGTTAAGACCCAGTTCCCTAGAGCGTATGTGAGGCCTTTCCTCCTGCTTCTCACCTGTTGCTTCATCCTAGTCTGCTTTCAGCCTGTACTGAGATATTCTCGAGTCCAGACCTTTGTGCCATTTGCCTTGATGGTATGTGTTCTCGGAGTATTGCTTGTCAGTGCTCTGTGCAGTGGTCTTGTATTTGCAGTGGCTAAAAAGTTTCAGACGCTCACCCAGTATGTGGTGGTGGCAGTGGTGCTTACAAGCCTGGAGTGGGTCCTAGTGGCTTTTTAAACTAAGAGCTTACTTCCACAACCAGGATTCCTGGGCTTGGGGACATGGAAAGGAGAGTAGCCGTTCTATTGTTCCTTGTCCTTTTAGAAGCTGCTGCTCCAAATTTAGCCCCAGATTCCCTTTGGTCTGTACTTCTATGACAATCTGATACCCACCCTCAACCTTTATTTGTTGTAATTTACTTATATCCACAGGCAAGTTGAGAAAGAACAGTAAGTACTGTTGTATTCCCTCAAAAAAGAAATAAATCATCAGCTTGTTCAAAATGATTCTTGTTTGCCATACTCCCAGGCTTTTAATCCCAGCACTTAGGAGGCAGAGGCAGGCAGAGCTCTGAGTTTGAGGCCAACCTGCCAGGGCTACACAGAGAAACCCTGTCTCAAAAAACCAAAACCAACCCTTATCTTAGCTGTAATTCTTAAATCTTCCTATGCCCTCAGAATTTTTCCCTACATTTAATGTCAAATTTAAAACTTGGCTAAATTGGGGTTGGCACAATGGCTCAGCAATTAGTTCAGTCCCCAGCATCTACATGACTGTTCACAGCTGTCTGTAACTCTCACCCCATAGGGTCCGATTCCCTTCTCTGATGTGCGGATATACATTACATGCACACAAAACATCCTTATACATAAAATGCATAATTATTTTCTTAAAATCTAAGCTAAGTCATTGTTAATCTTGAGGGGATAAATAATTACTTTTGAAGGCTTGTTCATAGAATAGGGTTTCTTGCCATTTTTAACTGAAAATTTCAAGCGACAAAGGGTCACACACCCGTTTTCAGATGATAGCAGAATGGTTCAGAACTGGTTGAGATTTACCTGTCTCTCTCTACACCTGCAGCTCCCCTTGTGGTAACTCCTTATGTGTTTATTATGATCAGACTCTGAGTTTTCTCAGCTGAGTTTTTAAATGGGTGAAGACTCTAGTCTTTTAGTGAGTTCTTTGCCTTTTCTGGAATGTGTTACCTTGGTTTCACTTTTATCTGTCTCTTCTCCCTTACTTTTTATCTTACTTAGTTTATCTTAAAATTTCGTGTTGTATTTTTGAAGAAATAGCTTTGGCTTGTTTTTTCCTGAATGTCTCTGCAGTTTGGTTTAAGTATCTGGCTTTGGGCATCCATCCTGAAGTTGGACTTCCTCTCTCCTTGTGACTTTTTGTAGATGGAAATCTGTATTTTCTGAGTTTCATTTTCTTTTTAATACTAAGTATGTATGTGTCTCCTCCCTCCCCTTTATCTTTTAAAAGACGGGAAAGAAAGCAGTGAAGGCCGTTCTGTGGGTGTCTGCGGATGGCCTCAGAGTTGTGGATGAGAAAACTAAGGTAAGAGTTTTGTGACTTTAAATGTCACTTCTCAGGTGATTTATCTCTAGTGATAAAATGTCATTAAGCTGTTGTAGTAGAGCTATAATATCCTGCCACTTGTGTCCAAAGTACAGCCTTTTGAGAGACTGTTTGAATGTCCAGGAAACTAATTTAGTGACTCATTTACTTTATGAACATAATCTCTCAGCATTTTGTTCTACTTGATGTAGCATATTTTATGTACCAAGCATTAATGTTTAATGCTGATATGAATTCTATTTTTGTTCTATGTTTATTTTTTTCAGATCTTTGAATATAAAAGGTGATGTATCTTTTGCTGTAATTTTTTTAGATGACAGGGCACATGTTAAGTTTGCCCTCGTTCCTTAAGGAAGTGTCTTAGGGCTAAATGAGCCGGCTGCTGAGGGCTCAAGGGGGTGTGGGGGCAGGTGGGGAGAGTGTTCAGCATGAGAGGCTAGGTTTGTTGTAGGTCCACACGGTATTCTAGGTAGCACTCTGTATTTGAGAGAAAGTGACCTGAAACACCCAAGATATGTGTGGTCAATTAATCGTTAATAAATTTTCTTAAGACCTAAAGTCAGGAAATGCTTTTTAACCAGAAGTTAATTTGAATGAGGTCATGCAAAGCAACAACAGGTGTGACGAGCAGTTTAATGATTCTATTTATTTATTTATTTATTTATTTGGTTTTTCGAGACAGGGTTTCTCTGTGTAGCCCTGGCTGTCCTGGAACTCACTCTGTAGACCAGGCTGGCCTCGAACTCAGAAATCCGCCTGCCTCTGTCTCCCAAGTGCCACCACTGCCCAGCCAGTTTAATGATTCTTAAATGGCTTAATATAGTGACATTTCAAACATTTGACCTTTTTTAAGCTAAAAATATTTATAGGCTTAAATTTAGCACTTTTTTATAGTTTAATGTGTTTTAATAGCAAACTTAGAGGAACAGCACAGAAGACAGACAACATTAAAAACATGTCCTTGCATGTAGGACAACTTAGTTAGAAAAGTATAGTGATGGATGGAATCTACTGGATGATAAAAATGCTACAAACACCAGTTAGTTGCCGTCAATAAGAAATTTACTTATTTTAAAAAAATCCAAATGCTGGCATTGTCCAGAACATTTTAACAGGTTTATTTATAATTGTTATAAAGTTGAACTGTTGAAATGTGTTCACTGAAACATTTTGCTTGCATTAATGCTCTACATCTTGCATTTATATTAAAAATTCACACACAAATGAATGTGGAGAAACTGCCAATACCTAATTCTGTCCCATATGTTTCCACTCGCAGTCATATACTTAGGTACTTTTGACCCCATGGAAAAAATATCTAACATTCAGAACTACTGATAACAGGAAGAAGAGGGAAAAAAATTTTTTTTGAGAATGAAATGTTTCCCCTCATAGTGGACTCTTAAGCACGCTCTCCGCATATGCGGCGAGCTAGCTGGATATCTTTTGGCTTAATTGTTACACGTTTGGCATGGATAGCACACAGGTATCTTCAAAAAGACCAACCAGATAGGCCTCACTTGCCTCCTGCAAAGCACCAATAGCTGCACTCTGGAAGCGCAGATCTGTTTTGAAGTCCTGAGCAATTTCTTGCACAAGACAAGACGCTTGCGAATCAGAAGTTCAGTGGACTTCTGATAGCGCCTGATTTCACGGAGTGCCACAGTCCCAGGCCTGTAACGATGAGGTTTCTCCACCCCTCCAGTAGAGGGCGCACTCGTGCGAGCGGCTTTTGTAGCCTGTAGTTTCCTGGGTGCTTTACCACCGGTGGATTTGCGGGTAGTCTGCTTTGTACGAGCCATGGTATGGGCACCTCCTTACCCCCTTCTCCTTCGGCTGGAGCTCGGCAAGCGAGAGGCGGCGCTGGCGTTAGAGAGCGGGGGCAGTGCGGCGAAGGCTGCGAACACCGATTTAGTGCATTTTTAAGCAGTAGAGATCTTAGGTATATTTTTAAACTTGTATCCTTTTAGTACAGTTTTTGGATAAAAATTATTTTTGAAAAAAGGTCTTGCTGGGGCTGGAGAGATGGCTCAGTGGTTAAGAGCACTGACTGCTATTTCAGAGGTCCTGAGTTCAATTCCCAGTAACCACATGGTGGCTCACAACCATCTGTAATGGGGTCTGGTGCCCTCTTCTGGTGTGTCTGAAGACAGCGACAGTGTATTCATAATAAATAAATAAATAAATAAATAAATAAATAAATAAATAAATCTAAGAAAGAGGGAGAGGGAGAGGGAGGGAGGAAGGAAAGAAGGGAGGGAGGGAGGGAGGGGGGGAGGGGGGGCTTGCTGAGTTTGATCTAACAATTCCCCTGTGTCAGCCTCCCAAGTGCTGGGATAACAGACTTGTGCCACCATACCAAGCAAACTTGTCATTCTCATGACTATGTATTTGTTTTTCACTGTATTTAGAAACTGATGTGCCCTCTGGTGACTACTTTTTTAGCTCCTACATTTATGAATTTTGTTTTTTCCATGTTGACTGATAAGTTACTGGAGGATAGGTTAGTTGAGTTGGGGAGGGGAGGGGAACGGTCTCTCTGTGTAGCCCAGTCTTGTCTTGAGTTTGGTATGCAGCAACCCAGTTTGGCCTTGCATGTGCATCAGTTCTCTTGGCCTGGTTTCCCCAGGTTCTGGGATTGCAGGTGTGAGCCACCATGTGCACTGTAATTGGCAGTTTATCACTTTTGGATCCATTTTCCCACCTTTATATTTTACCTGTTATCAAGGATTAAGGAATTAGTGCTTGTGACAAGATCATGCCATGACCTGCACAAATTAGTATAGATATAGAAGTCGAACTTCAAGTTTCTAATCTTTCTTTGAGCAAGAAACTATGTTGTGGTGAGGTACCAATCTCTAGCATACAAAGAAACTGAAACTGTGATTCATTCTCACAGAGAAAGCAGAGACCTAACCCCAAAATAATCTAGAAGAAGCAAACAGAACTTTTAAAGCAGTCATTAAAATATCACTGAGGGATATGAAAGAGAAAGTGCTACTGTTGATAAACAGCTAGACAATCTCAGTAGTTCTGAGAAAGAAGCAAACGCAACTTTTAGCATGGCTGAGCATGGTATACGTACGCGCCATTAATCCCAACTTGGAAGGCAGAGCCAGAAGAATGTCTGAGTTCCAGGACAGCTATAGCCACATGGTGAGAAAGAAGGACGGACGGACGGACGGAAGGAAGGAAGGAAGGAAGGAAGGAAGGAAGGAAATCAGAAAAAGAGAAAACTCAACATCTTAAAAATAGAATCCTTGAACTAAAAAATGTCTACTGGATGGAGATACAGTTACTTGATGGGGAAAGAGTAGAATAATATGTATTAATTCTGATTTGTTTAATATATAGTGGGAACTCACTATCATAGGTTCTTGCTGTATTTGCAGATAAGCCAAGCGTTTTTAAACATTTGTTTATGTATGCATACTGTCAAATTGAACATGGCACCTACTGTAGAAGAGCTCTGAACCAACTGACACATGCGCACTTCAGAATATGGAGCCCAGCAGTGGTGGCGCACGCCTTTAATCCCCGCACTTGGGAGGCAGAGGCAGGTGGATTTCTGAGTTTGAGGCCAGCCTGGTCTACAGAGTGAGTTCCAGGACAGCCAGGGCTACACAGAGAAACCCTGTCTTGAAAAACCAAAAAAAAAAAGAAAGAAAAAGAAAGAAAAAGAAAGAAAGGAAAAGAGAACGAATATGGAGATAAAGTTAGGGAACTGTTTGAGCCAAGTGATGCTTCCTAATCAAGTTATAGTCTATGTAGGGATCCTGCATTGCAAAATGAACATCCTATGCTGCTTCTGAGAAGATCAGATAACCTTATAAGCCTTCTCTTGCTTTCTGTTTCCATTTTCTAGGACCTCATAGTTGACCAGACAATAGAAAAAGTTTCTTTCTGTGCTCCAGATAGGAACTTTGACAGAGCCTTTTCTTACATATGTCGAGATGGCACCACTCGGCGATGGATCTGTCATTGCTTCATGGCTGTCAAAGACACGGTAAGTCCAGCATGGCATATGCTGTCATGAGGAGTCTAGCTGAGCTGCTTTCAGCTAATGTTGGTGAAGCAGTTTCCACTACATTTTTTAACAAGAGCATGATGCTAACGCTGCTTACATAAGTGCCTTTGTTGTAAGATTCTACTCAAGTAATTCTCAAGCTTGCTTTGAGCCTGTGAGCTAGAAATCAGAACGCAAAGCCATTGCCTAGGCTCTGAAGTCATTAAAGCAAAGCAGAGATGCCCTAGTGAGCTCGTTGGCAGATCCCCAGCACCACAAAGAAAGGAAGAAAGCAGAAAGCAAAGGGCCTGGGGACTGGAGGTAGAGGATAGGAGATGACACAGATCCAGCATGTCACCATATTACTGAGGTTTTTGAATTGGAGCTTTTTATCAGTAAAATGTTTGTTGGGGTTTTTTGTTGTTGTTGTTTTTGTTTTGTTTTTTAAGACTAGCATTTATAGCCAGGCAGTGGGAGGGCACACCTTTGATACCAGCACTTGAGAGGCAGAGGCAGAGGCAGGCAGACCTCTTTGAGTTCAAGGGCAGCTTGGTCTACAGAGTGAGTTTCAGGACACTACACAAGAGAAACCCTGTCTTAAAAAGCAAAAGGCAAACAAACAAAAAAGGATAGATTTTTGTGTTCTCTTGATTAGCCAAGTTTGATTCCCAGTACCCATATAGAAAGGATCATGACTCCCCTATAACTCCAGCTCCAGGAGATTCAATGTCTCTGGCCTATGACACCAACTACACTCACATGCACATAGCACAGAACAGAAAGGAAGGAAGGATTGGACAATGATAGAAATTAATACATAGAAATAGATTTTTGTTTTGAGACAAACTCTCCTTGCTCTATAGCCCAAACTCACTTTAAACATGTTTTTCTACCTCCGCCCCACTAAATGCTGAAATTATAGGCATTATACTTGGATGGAGATTCATTTATATTTTTTGTGGTGCTGTAGGTCAAACCCCAAGCCTTGTACCTTCACCAATGGCCTTTCCTGGTCTCTCACAGTGCCAAGCCTCAGCTGCTGTCCTTGACCCCTTCATGCCTTCAAAACCAGTACCATCTGAATGATTCTTACACATTACCAAGTCCAGCTGCAGCACAAGGTCTATCTCTAACACACAACTTATTGTGCTCTCAGAAAACATTTCCTAGAAGATTCACCTCAGTGATGCTGGTCTCTTCTTATCACTGCTAATTTCTTGGCTCCACCTAACCAGCATCAGTTGTCCCAGTAACTCCTCCTAGTCTTGACTATAAAGCCAGAACCATGTAGCCAAAACTGCCAAATTTTGCTGCTGCTTGCTGGGACTGGAACATGGCCCTCTTGTTCATTTGCAAACACAAACAATAAACTTATCTGGGTGGGATTTTACCCCAAAGTCACCACTCCCTTAATTCCATTTAATTAATACCCTTGAACACAAGATTTAGCTCCATCCCACTTCTTGGTGCCCCTTTAATCTTTGAACCATGTATTTTGTATTTTTCCTTTCTAAGCTTTCCATGCTGATCAAAATGCTCTACATTTTCATAAGAATGAATGACAGGACAGAGTCTGTGCTAGGCTTTTTTGAGACTTCTTTGTCAAAGCAATTAATCTGAATCTCTTTACCTTAGCTTCAGACAGACAAGGGCAAAAGCAGCCATATTCTTCACCAAAATATCACAAGAACATTCTCTAGGCAGCATATTAAAATTCTTCTCTGAAACTTCCTGAGCCAGGCCCCCACAGTTGAAATCACCTTTAGTACCACCGTCTGCCGCGTTCCTACTAGGATGGCCCATGAAGCCCCACTTAAAGCATCCCACTGCTTTCCTAATCCAAAGTTCCAAAATCCACATTCCTCTGAAGAAAAGCATGTTCAGGCCTGTCACAGCAATATTCTAGTGCCTGGTTCCAACTTATGTCTTAGTTAGGGTTTTATTGATGTGAAGAGACACCATGACCAAGACAACTTTTTAATTGGGCAACTCTTTAATAAACGACAACATTTAATTGGGACTGACTTATCAGTTCATCATGACAAGAAGCATCACAGCAGGCAGGCAGACATGGTGCCGGAGGAAGAGCTGAGAGTTCTATATCTTGAGAGAGAGAGAGAGAGAGAGAGAGAGAGAGAGAGAGCACAATATGTATGTATGTATGTATGTATGTATGTATGTATGTATGTATGTATGTGTGTGTAGAAGAGACCTCAAAACCCTACCTCCACAGTGACACTTCTTTAACAGAGCTACACCTCCAATAGTGTCACTTCCCATGGGCTAAGCATATTCAAACCACCACAGAAGGCATGAGGGGAAGGCTACTGCTGCCAACATTAGAAAAGGGGAAAAGCAGCTGGGCAGTGGTGGCGCACGCCTTTAATCCCAGCACTTGGGAGGCAGAGACAGGCGGATTTCTGAGTTCGAGGCCAGCCTGGTCTACAGAGTGAGTTCCAGGACAGCCAGGGCTACACAGAGAAACCCTGTCTCGAAAAACCAAAAAAAAAAAAAAAAAAAAAAAGGTGGGGGGGAGGGGAGAGCAAGGCTTTCCTAGTCCCTTTGTTTGTATATTTGTTTGTTTTCAAGACAGGCTTTCTCAGTGCATAGCACTGGCTGTCCTGGAACTCACTACCAGGCTGACCTCTAACTCACAGAGATCTGCCTGCCTCGGCCTCCTGAGTGCCAAGATTAAAGGCATGCCCACTAGGCTTAGCACTTGAGTCCCTTATAATCCAGAGTTTTAAAGTTTGTAAACCCTCCATCCCTGACTTGTTGGCAGTATAGTCAAACTCCTCCTGAAATTCCTTCCTCTCCAGTGATTTCTTAGAATTGTCTGGCAAATATTACTGCTATTCCCCTTTTAAAAAGCAACTGGAGGGCTGGAAAAATGGCTCAGTAATGAAAAGCACATATGTTTCAGTAATGAAAACTCCCTCCTAACCCTAACCCTGAGTTCTGTCCTCAGCACCCAAGTCAAGTGTAGCCAGTCTTTTACTAGTTTGTGGATTCTTTCTTCTTCTACTTTTCTCTACCCCTTTTCTACCCTTTCAATCCCCTAACAGTAGAACAGTAGATAAGAGAGAAAATGGGATAGAGAGGAAAGGGGGCGATGTTACCAAGACTACTTCCTGCTAATTAGGGATGTCAAGTTCCTTGGGGTAAGTTTGATATTTGCCATCATGATACCAAATTTCTTCTTTCTTCTTTGCGCATAGCTACTTAACAAACCATGACCAACAGCCCACCTCTTGGGGTCCTGGGATTGATGGACCCTCTGAAAAGTCCCCAGAATTTCAAATGTCATGCAATTACAAAAACTGTCTGCAGCTGGCAGAATCACCCCCCCTAGTAGAGCATGAGGCAAATCATAATCATCTGCTGTGGGCAGTCTGAGGCAGCCCCATGCCCCACACCTGGCACGTTCCTGTTTCTGTGTTTTGTTTTTCTTAAGAAACCAATATTCTCACTTCAGTCAAGCATCTCACAACCTCCTGAAACTTCAGCTCCAGGGTGATCCAACACCTCTGGTCTTTGAGGATATTTGTATTTACTCGTACGTGTATACACACACACACAGTTAAAAATTAAAGGGAAATTGGAGGCTTGAATATAAAGACAGTTTGTTTGTCATGTTAGTTTTAAACTGTAATTTGCAGCAGCTGTGTTTGTATGTAGTTATTTGTGCTGTAACTCTGTCATAGAGCTTTCAAAACCTGCTCTCTACAGGGGGAAAGACTGAGCCATGCCGTGGGCTGCGCTTTTGCAGCCTGTTTAGAGCGTAAACAGAAGCGGGAGAAGGAGTGTGGAGTCACTGCTACCTTTGATGCCAGTAGAACCACTTTTACTAGAGAAGGATCATTCCGTGTCACAACTGCCACTGAACAAGCTGAAAGAGAGGAGATCATGAAACAGTTGCAAGATGCCAAGAAAGGTACAGTGTGTTCTGCTGTGATGTGTTTATTTAATGCAGATTTTTCTCAACAGGTTTATATTTAAAGCTATCAGAGACAAGTTTCCTACAGACAAAAGGAACCCTTGGGATTGCAGGTGAAGCCCAGTGGCAGAGCATTCCTACATGTTCAAGGTCCTGGCTTCTATCTTTAGAAGAAGCACCCCCAACCCCTGCCCACACTATACACTCAGATTCCTTAGAAATACATGAAGACTTTTAAGGACAAAACTAAAATTCTTACAAAAGTGCCTTCTTTAGACTGGCCTAAAGACCATTTATGCTGTCCATTTTAGTAAGTTCTGGGGAAGGTGAGAGGGAAGTTGAAGAAGCTGCAGAGAAACATCCCTGTTCCCTGCCCATTCCTGTCCCTGGAAGAGACTTAATTCTGATGCATTCTCCCTCTATGAGACACACATACCATCAAAGACTTAAGATCTGGGGGACAGCACAGCCCTAGGGTTTAGGGATACAAAGGGAACACTGGTTATGACCTGGCCGAGAAGTAATGACAGTACTGTGCATATTACAGTACTGGAATAATCCTGAGTACTCCAGTCACAGAAGGGGCTTTGGAGTTTTGCACGTGTCTCTGTGTGTGAGATGAGGGCTTAAGTGTTGGTGTCTTTACACTTGTGTGAAGGGTCATATGTGTGAGAGTGTGCAGAAGCCCACATCCAAGACCACAAGTCGTCGTCACTAGCACTCGTCTTTTTTATATAACTTTCTACATTTTAATTTTTGTGTTATGGGAGTTTTGCTTGCATGTGTGTCTATGTGCCACATGTGTGCCTTCTACCTTCAGTGGCCAGAAAAAGTGGTAGGCTCCCTGGAACTGGAGGTGCAGGTGTCTGTGATACACTGTGTGGGGTGCTTGGAATTGAACCCATGTCCTCTGTAAGAGCAGCCAGTGCTCTTAATCACTGACGCATCTCTCCAGCCCTGTCCACCTTACTCATTAAGACAGGGTCTCTCAGTTCAACTCAGAGCTCACTGATTTGGATAGTCTAACCTGGCTAGCTTGCTTCGAGGATCCCCCTCATCTCTTCTTTAGTGCTGGAATCTCAAGTGAACCACCCTGCCCAGGAGGCATTCTCTTGGGTCCTGAGGATCCAAGCTCCAATCCTCAGACTTGCAAAGAAAGCACTTCACTTGCTGAGCCATCTCCTCAGCCTCTGAACCACAGGTTTTTGGGTTTTTGTTTTGTTTTGTTTTGTTACTAGATTTACAGTACCAGATATGTCCCTCCTCCTTTGGGAGGGGCCCCAAATCCAATCAGAAAGTAGTTGGTCACCCCCATAATAGACTTTGCATTGTTGCACCAGTAGGCACATCTTGCCTAACCAGCCACTGTTGCTGCTTGTAGGGTCCACCCCTGGGTAACACTGTATGACAGTTTCCCCCAGAAGCCCACATAAGCATCTTGTGCTTGAAAGACTAGACAGCAGGGGGAAAGCCCCCAGCATAATTCTGATCCAGCCTCCATTTCCTGTGCCAGATTATGTGTGCTTGCCATCCAGATAACTCATCATTCTTTTTTTAGATTAATTTTCATTTTAGATTAATTTGTATACATGGGGGGAGGTACGTGATATGTAAGTGCAGGTGCTGTTCAATTGAGAGTGTCTGGATCCCCTGGAGCTGGAGTTACAGGCTGTTGTGAACCACAGGATGTGAGTGCTGGGAACTGACCTTAGGTCCTCTGGAAGAGCAGCACATACTCTTCACCACTGGGATCATCTCTGCAGGCCACACACCATCATTCGCCTAAGGACCTTGCATGAGAACTCCATTGGAACTGGGTTATTTGTGTCTTAAGATTATTTACATGTACTGGACAGTGATGGAGCACTTTGAAGGCAGAGGCAGGCAGATCTCTATGAGTTCAAGGCCAGTCTAGTCTATAGAGCATGTTCTAGGACAGCCAGGGCTAACAGAGAAACTTTGTCTTGAACCAGCCCCCTCAAAAAAAAAAAAAAAAAAAGGCTGTATTTACTTACTTTATGGATATTTTGTCTGTTTGTATGTCTGCATATCAGAAGAGGGCATTGGGATCCCATGGGAATAGAATTATTGTTTGCTGTGAGCATTTATATAGATGCTGGGAATTGTGTCTTAATAGAGGATAAAACCAGCAGGGTATTGTTAAACCTTCACCTGTCAGAATATATTAGATTTGAACATGGGAAAGTGGATGAGTTAAAGAATGAGAAGGCTTCTGAGCTCTCAGCTCTGTGAACTCAGAGTACTTGAAGGTCACTGCTGAGGTCTAAGGTCTTTTCTTTGGTTTTCTTGAGCTGAGACAGACAAGACAGTTGTTGGTCCATCAGTGGCTCCTGGCAACACTGCTCCATCCCCATCCTCTCCCACCTCTCCCACTCTGGATGCCACTGCCTCTTTAGAGATGAACAATCCTCATGCCATCCCACGCCGGCATGCACCAATTGAACAGCTTGCTCGCCAAGGCTCTTTCCGGGGATTTCCTGCTCTTAGCCAGAAGATGTCACCCTTTAAACGCCAGCTGTCCCTACGCATCAATGAGTTGCCTTCCACTATGCAGAGGAAGACTGATTTCCCAATAAAAAACACAGGTAATGTGCTCTAGCTCTGTCAGAAGCAACACAGACCCTCTGAGTTAATCACACCTGTCTCTGTGAATCCGTTAGATACAGTGATGTCGTTCCACATGAGGACAGACTAGGGCCATGAGGAATTCATTTCTCTTCCATCAGTAGTCACAGAGCCACAGTGGAATTTCTAGCCTGAGCCACAAAATCTGTGGTTTGTCCTGATATAGATGTGCTATCTCTCAGCCAGCCTATTTCCATACATAAAGGACTCCAAATTTCCATTCTTACTGTGCTCATAGGACCCCAGAGCATTAAATGGGCTTTAGAAACATTTACAGGTTAATAGCACTGTCAAAGGAACAGACGAAATGGGTAAGTAAGTGTTCCTTGTATTTGTGGGAGGTGGGCTTCATGGGGAAGAAACTCTAAATGGCTCTCTTACACAAATCGAAGGTCTGTTGTTCATCAGAAGCAGGAGGTCACTCATTTGTTCCCAGACGCCCGCTGTGTGTCTGTGTCCTCGGTTCAGCTGAGCCAGCCTGTAGGCTCTATCCTTATTATATGCGCTACAGCTAAAGTGTTAGATCTGGTTGGTGCTTTTACCGGCCCTCTTATCCTTCCCTCTGAGATGAGTCATGCTGTCTCCATAACTGACCAGGAGGAAGCTCTGCTCAGTAGGCACTCCTCCTGACCACACTGAGAGCACAGAGAGGACAGGCCTGTGGGCAGTAGAACTAGACTTACAGAGCAGTCAGCGTGAGGTGACGGTGGCAAGTCCTCAGCTTGCAGCACCCTCGAGACAGAAGCTCTAGGTGCTTCAAGACCTCGGTGCAGTCTCCCCCTGGGGCAAATGAGGCACAAAATCTTTCTCTTTTCACAGATGAGCAAAGGTTCAGTACACATAAATTGTTGCTCAGTAATGAGGAAATGTTCTCAGAACCCCGTCTTAACTCCCCCTCCCCTTTCCCCCCAGGATCTCAAATTACTTGAACTTCAAACTCTAGGCCAAAGCAATCTTTCTGCTTGGCTTTCCAGAATTAGTATTAAAAGAGTCTTTAGCATCCTACATTTCAGTCCACTAGAAACTTTAAAGATGAGAGTGCCAGGCAATGGTGGCACAGGCCTTTAATCCCAGCACTTGCAAGGCAGGGGCAGCCCCATCTCTGAGTTCAAGGCCAGCCTGGTCTTCAGGGCAACCTCCAGGACAGCCAGAGCTGTAGAGAAAGACCCTTTCTTGAAACACACACACAAACACACACACACACACACACACACACACACACACACACACACACACACGGAAGAGAAAAGGAGAATGGTAACATGCCCTAATTTACTCAGAGAAAAGCTTTTGTATCTAGACTTAACCCTATTTTTCTGAAAAAAATTGTTTATCAGCTCTAGAACTTGATTGGGTTGTAGCTTCTGGGAACTGGTTGAAAGTCAAATGGGTTGCAGAGATCTTCCAGAAAGACACAGCTTTACAAAAAGCCTCACATAAAAAAATCCCACCAAGTTCCCAACAATGTCTCAAAGAAGAAATAAATTAGGGATTTGCAGAGAAAGACATGAGTGTCTTAGTGCATGAGTTACTGATGTTTTCTACTTTCCTGTCTGAAAGTTGAGGTGTTGGTTAATTTACTAAAGCTGATTGTGTAGCCTGACAGTTGAGAAAGAGTTAAAATGAGAAATGGCAGCCTACACTGTACTGTCGTATTTCAGGACTCCTCCATTTCCTGTCCAGAACCATTTTCTGTTTGCCTTGCAGTGCCCGAGGTAGAAGGAGAGGCCGAGAGCATCAGCTCCCTGTGCTCCCAAATCACCAGTGCCTTCAGCACACCCTCGGAGGACCCCTTCTCCTCTGCCCCAATGACCAAACCAGTGACATTGGTGGCACCACAGTCTCCTGTGTTACAAGGTTGGTGACCTCTGACCTCAGTTTTTCTCTTTAAAACTAATCCTACTGGCATGCTTCTCATGCACCGGAAGTCGGCATCCTGAGCTTACCATTGTCCTCGTTTCTCTGTCAGCCACATCTCTGGGCTTTTGCTCCCTTGTCTAAGCTGTCCACTTTTCATCATTTGGCATGAATATGTCTGTCTGTCTATGCATCCTACATAGTCTCTGTCCATCCACTGCTCTATTTGCCTCTTGACTTAAGGGACAGAACAGCCAGCCAGTTAGCTTTACAGAACCAGCAGCTATTAGGATTGGTTCAGGCTCTGTGATCCTCCACCAAGGACAATCTTGCCCTGCAGGGAAAATGTGATATTCATTGTATGGAGACATTTTGGGATTATTATAGCATACAAAGCACTGCCGAGCGTCCTTCAGCGTGTAAGAGCACCTACAGCAAACTGTCATCCATCCCCAAGTGTCAGTGGTGTTAACATCGAGACCTGGGCTCACCCACTTCTCTCTACTGAAAGAGATTCATAAAGTAGAGGCCTCTCTGCTGGCTCGCTGGTTCATCTCGTGGTCTCTAAATTGACCTTTGTGACAATAGAGTTACTTCAGGGTGGAGTTGGTGTCATTCCCCCCAACCCCAATATGCTAAATTAAATTTCTAACTCACAGGTCAATAAATCAGTGGCTCCTGACAATTGTCCACTCCCATGTCTTTTGAGAACTTTTCAAGTAGAAAGGGCTGCGCTGAAGGCAGTGCTGTTACCCCTGGAAGAAGCTGCCGTGTCCCTTTGTTTTGCTTCTAGATGTCAATCTTTTGACATAATGCTTATAATCATGTGTCCTTTATATCATCACATAGCTTTTCTTTTCATCTAGCAGACATTTATAGTACTAGAAAAGTAAGCTTGATATACCAGCTCCACAGTGCCTGCCACCGTGGGAAATGCTCACACCTTGTCTTATTTAACCCTCACATCGTTCTTTAAGGGAGCCATTCCAAAGAAGAAAAAATGAAGCTCAGATAGTCTGAGCGAATGGCTCAAGCTGTGCAGCTGGGGTGTAACCTCGGATCTTCCTGACTCACACCCGACTGCCATCTGCTCACAGGGCACTGGGTATCGAACCTGAACAGAGCACAGGCCTTTGTCTTCACAGGGCTTCCAGTCTATAGCTGGTGTCGTTTTGTTGTTGTTTCATAGCCCCAGGTAAACAATACCATCACCCTGAGTGTGGTTGTGCAGTCCTAAGGAGTCATCGTCCATGCTGAGTATGATGAAAACTGGCGTACAGACTAGAGACTGATAAAGGAACAAGCGTTAGGAGCCAAGAAAAAGAAGTGTGGAAAGAAAGATCAGCACTCTGGATATTAGGACTATTACATGGAGAACAGACAAAGATATAAAATTAATCTTGCAGCAAATGACAAATGTATTAAAGTAAATGAAAATGCATACCATGTGATTTTTTTCATCAGTTGTACAGGCAAACTGTTGACCCCTCATTCATGGTCTCTGTTTCTGAAGTTTCTGTTTCTGTGCCTGTAATTAACTACTATCTCAAAACATTAAATAGAAAATTACAGAAACAAAAACTTCATGTTTTAAATAACTTTATTATAATATGTTCTTACAGTAATTATTAGCCTCTCAGTGTACCAAACTTATAAATTAAACTTTATCCTAGGTTTGAATGTATAGGTAAAAACACAGTATTATACTGGGTGCCGTCTGGCTTTAGGCATCTGTAGAACTCATTGGAACTGATTTTCTAATCCCAGATTTATGAGACTTTTGAGAGAATTAAATTTGGTGTATATAAAATATTGTTAGCTTGGTGCTGAGAACATACTAAGAAATTATTATACTTAACCCATTATTATTGTTGACCTGATTTGATCTTTTAGAAAAGTGCAGAACAAAATGCTTTATCTACTTAATTTTAAGCCAAAGCCTAGTTGCATGAATAGTCACGATCAGTTTAGCTTGAAATTGTATTTATCAGGCTTCATTCTGTCTCTCATACAAAAGGTGTGTGCGTCCACTGCACCAACTGCTCTGTCCTGTCTGTTTCAGCAGTGTACATTGGCCTGACTGACCCATCTCACGTAGCTTGGATGCCCTGCATGAATTAACTCCATCAATGTTGTCTGCTCCATTATAGCTAATGGCACTGACTCAACCTTCCATGTGCTTACTGCTAAGCCAGCCAGTACTGCTCTAGCACCCGTAGCAATGCCTGTTCGTGAAACCAACCCCTGGGCCCATGCCCCTGATGCTGCTAACAAGGAAATTGCAGCCATACATCCGGGTAAGGTGGCCACAGATGGTGAAATGGATTCTGGGAGCAAGTTCTAAAAAACGGCCAGTTACCTGAATGAGGACTACTGTGAAAAATATATTCTTTCCTAGACAGAGTGGCCGTGGAAAAAGGCTATAGAACTAGGAGTAAAAGGGTTGGATGAGATGTCCTCAGGACTGTGGAACTTGTCTACCATAGAATTTTAACAAGCCACTGGCTACTGCCCCACTCCCCAAAAAATCCTTTTCACTGTATTTTAGTAGCACACACAGCTGCCTATAGATGAAGGCACCCTGCATGGCAGGCTCATCAAAAGTGCCACAAAGAACACTTCCATATTTTTTGTGTATTTTTACTAGCTTTTCTGCGATGTTTTGAGACATACTCTCACTATGTAACTCTGGCTGTCCTGGAACTCACTCTGTAGACCAGGATGGTTTGGAGCTCAGAGACCTGCCTGCCTGTGCCTCTGAGTGCTGGGATTAGAGGTATACACCACTACTGCTGGTTTTGAGGTATTTGGGGTTGAGGGGTATAGCTTTTTATTCATGGTTATTCATGGTTATTCATATTCATGGTTTTGGATTTGAGTTTTTAAGACAGAGCCTTGTTCTGTAGCCTTGAACTCTCAGGCCACCTGCCTCACAGTCCTTGTTCTGGGAACAAGCATGCCCCTAACTCTTCCTCTCTCTCTGTCTCTCTTTGGTTCTAGGGACTGAGTGGGGTCAGTCTTCTGGTGCTGCCTCTCCAGGTCTCTTCCAGGCTGGTCACAGACGCACTCCCTCTGAGGCTGACCGTTGGTTAGAAGAAGTGTCAAAGAGTGTGCGGGCTCAGCAGCCGCAGGTCTCAGCCGCCCCTCTGCAACCGGTTCTCCAGCCTCCTCCGCCTGCTGCCATTGCCCCCCCTGCACCTCCTTTCCAAGGACATGCATTCCTTACGTCTCAGCCTGTGCCAGTGGGTGTGGTCCCACCCCTACAACCAGCTTTTGTTCCTACCCAGTCCTACCCTGTGGCCAATGGGATGCCCTATCCAGCCTCTAATGTGCCTGTAGTGGGCATCACCCCATCCCAGATGGTAGCCAATGTGTTTGGCACTGCAGGCCATCCTCAGGCCACTCATGCACATCAGTCACCAAGCCTGGCCAAGCAGCAGACATTCCCTCAATATGAAACAAGTAGTGCTGCCACCAGTCCCTTCTTTAAGCCTCCTGCTCAGCACCTCAATGGTTCTGCAGCTTTCAATGGTGTAGACAACGGCGGGCTAGCCTCAGGAAACAGGCATGCAGAAGTCCCTCCAGGCACCTGCCCAGTGGATCCTTTCGAAGCTCAGTGGGCCGCACTAGAAAGCAAGTCCAAGCAGCGTACAAATCCCTCTCCTACCAACCCCTTCTCCAGTGACTTACAGAAGACGTTTGAAATAGAGCTTTAGGCAGTCTCTGTGACAGGTGTTTTCTGTACTTAGGCAAGGGCAGGGGTGGAGGGCAAAGGAGCAAAGGGGACTTTGCTTTCCAGATCAGCACACTTTTCACTAATCCCAGAGGTCCCAAGGAGCAAGTCCAAGCACAGGCCAGCAAGGGATGACATCCACAGAGGTGAGGCAAGCCTTGCTGGGGAGGACTGCCCTGCAGCTAGGCTAGAGAAGTCAAGGGAGTGCTCCCTTCTGGCCCCTCTCACCCTAACAAACCTCTGGCAACAGAGAGGCAGAAGATCTGAAGAGGAATCTGTATTCAAAGCACATTTACTGGAATATAAAACATAACAGGAAGCAAAACAATCTCCTTTTATTTTTCAGGCCAGTCACCCGTTCCTCCCAGTACTGGGCTGTCTTAGAGCTCGATGGGGAACAGGGTGGCTGGTTGGAGCCTGGCAGGCCGTGCTGCTGGGTTCACAGGAGGGCACAGCAGCAGCCGCCCAGTAGAGCTGTAGTCTGGGGATAAAGCTGAGCTTCCGTTTTGAGTTACAGAATAAATATTATAAATATATATATATATATATCAAAAAAGCCAAAATCTTTATTTTTATGCACCTAGAATATTTTAAATAGTTCTCAATATTAAAAAGTTCTATGAGTTGTAAGTAATCTTGCCAAAAGTGAGCGGGTAGATGTAAGAAATTGTACATAAGATTGATTTCTCATTGATACCTATTGAAGTAAAAAAGGGGGAGGATTAGAAGTTGGAGGGAGGAGCCCTGGCTTGTTTGTCATTCACAACTAGTTAACTAACTAGTTAACTAACTAGCACACTGCAAAGCAATCATACCGATGCCCAGTACCGTCACTAGGTAGTAATTTTAGTAAGATGAGCGAGCAGTGTTGTCCTGGTTTTAAATCTATGGTGAAATTCTAATGTCACCATTTTAATGGAATCAATCTACGCTCTAGAGAATGTATGTTGAGTCTTTTATGTATCATTGTGATTTCCTTATGTTAATCCTTTAGCATTACGGTGACAATGACATAATCATATCCAGAAAAGGGAACGCAGGCTCTTGTGTTGGTTTGTAATGTCTTAATGGGTTCTGTCCTTGAAGTTTTGTTCCCATAAGTTTTACAGGGATGAAATTCTGGCTTATGTGCTGTGTGTCTGTGTCCCCTCTGCCCCACCATGGACAGACCATCCCATGCCAGATGCAGCTACTTGACCGTGGGTGACAACGTGAGATCCCATCTCATTTTTACTTTTGAACGTTGGCCTTACAATCAAATGTAAGTTATATATACATATATATATATATATATATTTGTACTGATGAGAATTTATAATCTGCTTTAACAAAAATAAATGTTCGTGGTAGAGCTTTTGCCCATGAAGGGCTGTTCTTATTTGCAAATGAGTTTATAGTTCTGTCTTTTATCTAATCCTCCTCCTACTGCTGATTCCTAGAGATTGCTTGTGAGTATAAAATCTTTTGGGGAGGTTAGTATATCCTTAAATTCCATGGGTGTGACTGGGATCTTGATGCTGAGAAGTTGATCTGCAGCAATAGTGTGTGTGGACTACACCAAGAAGCCAGAGACTCAGCCCCAGCCCAAGGGTAGAGTGGAGCTGTACATGTAGAGACAGGGTCTCACTATGTAGCCCTGGCTGGCCTTGAGCTCAGAGAGCCACCTACCTCTGTCTTTCAAATGCTGGGATCAAAGATGTGCATGTACCACTGTGCCCGCTAGCACTACTTCTCAGTCTTAGCTATGTATTGGAATTACCCAAGGTGTAGCGTAGTGGAACATGTTCTAAGCATGCATGTGATCCCCCAGTGCACACACGGGCATGTCTACATGTCACCTATAGTATCCAGCCTACTCACAAGGCCAATTAAGTCAGGGTATCAGTGGGGAGAGGAGAGGTTGACAAGTGGTGCTTTAGACTGAGGAGTCACTTGTGAGTTCTGTGTAGAGAGGCTCAGCAGTTCATCCCTCACTTCCTGATTTAGCCCCTACTCCATCTGCAAACAGAAATGTCTGGCACCCAGGAATTCCTCAGCTCTCCTTGTCCTGAGACACCACTCACACATGAAGCTTTGTATTCCAGCCAAATGTCAGAACTTTGGTCCCATAGTAACTATGTTACTAGACAGTCTTCCAGAGGAGTCGGAGAAGTTAAAGTGGGAAGAGGCCTGGAAGTTCATTAATCCAGGCTCTTCCTTGAGCATTAAGAAATCAGATTTTAAAGATGAAGGATGCCTTCCTGCAGCTCAGACTACTAAAATCACTGTCCTGATTGTCACATTGCACCCACATCCTGCTAATGCTGGGTTCTATGGGCTGTTTACTTTGAGACAGGCTCTCACTCTGGCCCAGGTTGGCTCACACCGGCACTCCTGCTTCAGCCCCCCAAGCACTGAGATTGTAGGCATGCACCACCATTCCCAGCCGTTGCTCTGTAGACTTTACAGTCATGCCTTTGTGTGTGCAGGCGCACATGCATGTGGCAGTCAGGACAGCCGGCCTGAGTCAGTTCTGCCTTCCACCAGGCTGCTTCCAGAGAACACTCCGGCCATCAGGCTCGGCAGTGAGTGCCTTTACCACAGCCATCTCACCAGCCCCCAGCTGCTGGTTTCATAGTCTTTCTCTAGCAACAAACACGTTCCACAGATTCATGACTCTGCTGCTCTGAGCAGGCCAGTGAGCTGTGTAAGGGAGTGAGCCTTCCCAGCTTGCCTCACTGGGAGGTCGTGCCCCTGCTGTGGAGTCCTTTCCCAGTGTTTTTCACACACAGATTATCAGGCTGTCTGGCTTTTCCATCCCACATCCCTGCATCAAGGCCTTATGGCCTCCACCTTGCTGAGTGCTTTCCTGAGCATTCATTACACTGTGAGCGCTGCACAGTGACGGTGGGGAAGGCGGCTGTGCCTCCGCCTAGGAGGATGAGAAAGCCTGAGCTCACCTCTGACCCCCAAACGGTGAATTCCAGCAGGAAGCCTTCTGAGTGAGCAGTTACCACTCCCCTCGCATCACAGACACCCGCCCAGCCAGCTCTGCAGTGTGCTAAGTAGATCCTCTGGACACAGAACACCCCTCATCCAAAGTCAAACGTGCTTTGAAACCCAGACAGTTTTGAAGGCTGACATGGCATTCGGGTGTTTCAAGCTTTGGGGCATTTCAGAATTTTAGGTTAGGGATGCTCAGTTAGTAAAGTCTACAAATACTTAAAAGTTTAAAACATTTTGGCCCAAAGCATTTCAGATAAAAGGTCCTCGACGCAGCAGAAACTAGAGGGAAGGTGTGAAGGGTTCCTCTTCACAGCAGCCTGTGGTCCTAAAAGACAGACCCTGTTGAGCAGTACAGGGGAGGCCAGCACTGGCAGCTGCTGGGGCTCAACCCTGGATTTCTGAGAGGGGCAATATCTGAAAGATGACTCCCTCTGCAAACCGTGTCTTACCATCCCTTCTCCCCAGCAAACCATCCAGAACTGGGCCACAGCTAGCCTTCATCCCTGCTGCCAGACAGGCTGGGCATTCGGCTGGAAGCGGGAGCAGCTGGCACAGCAGAAGCTGGAGTAATATTCATTGCCACAGAGCTGGGCCTGCAGGATCAGCGCACAGTTGGCCAGCTCGGGCTGGTCGATGCAGTCCTTGCCTAGATCCCTGGACTGTGCGGCTGGAGCTGCAGGGGAACGAGAGAAAGGGCTGAGGCAGCTCTCGCCACGGCCTCTCACAGGCCCTCCTGTGATCCTTATCTGCAAAAACCACTTACAACAGCACCCAGGACACGTAATAACTACAGCAAAAACCTGAGTGCTTACTGCTGTCTTGGCCCTACAGCCGTGTTCTCCCTCAGAAAATGAGGCAGGCAGAATGAGGTAGCAGACCACCTTTGTCCCTACAATATTTCACAGTCACTCAGCCCTTAGGCAAAACAAGCCAGGGTGAAAAAAGCCTACACCACCACCCCATGCCAGCTAACTCCAGTGCCAACAGTTGGCTGCATGAGACAGTCACTGTGTGACTCCAAACCAATGAATGAGAGCATAGGTCTGCAGCCTGGTCAATGGGAGTAGACAGGAAGGGGACAGCTGAGGTTCTGGAGAGATGCCTCCAAAATAGGGAAAGGTCGGCAACATGCAGCCAAGAACAAAAGAGGGCTCATGCCATGGGTGGGGTCTGGGAGATCAGCTTGGCAGCCACTTGTCACCAAAAGCCTAATAACAGCCTGCTGGCCACCATTGTCAGACACACTTGTGATTATCGTCCCTCGCTGTAGACACATCTACAGCTAGTCACAAATGTGAGCATCCAGGTCCCCTTGAGTTGTTTGGCTTTGGTTTTAAGTCAGGATAATGTTACTCATACTGCCTGTGCAACCCAGGTGCTAGGATTCATAGGTGTGTGTCACCACGCTCAGATCCTCAGCCCTCAAAATGACTTTCTCTTCACCGTAGTAAATCTGCACTCTGGTTTTTCTTGCTCTTACTAGTTTGATTAGTGTATAGATAGATGAATGGAGTTTTCTAGAAACATCAAAGGTGTAAGTCCTGCCATATGGTATTTTCACCAGAGTGCTGTCACACAGGCATACACAGTTACAGCCATGTGAGTCTCAGTATTGCAGAGCAATGGGCTGGCCCTGGGGTCCCAGGGAGCTCGGGAGTTCACAGCGGGATGCCTGAGTGTCAGTCTCACAAAGCAACATTTAACACATTACTTCAACCCCTGGCCAGTTCTCCAGGAAGACAGCCAGGCCTGCCCAGTGGGCCAACCCTCCTCTAGTGGCACAGTGTTCAAGCACACCAGGCAGTTGGTGCTGTTACCGCCAAGCTAAGGACCCTTTCTCCAGGATCTCCTCAGGTTCTGAGAACTGGCTGCTTGGCTGGAGGCTCTGAGCTGTTTGGTACTCAGTCTCTCCCTGAAACACTAAGCCCTGTGGAGGGCACTGTGAGTGGGCCCCTCCTGCCCTGTCACTTAAACGCAGAGCTCCTGCAAGTTTGAACATTAAACAGTCCTGTTCCACCAGTTCTGACGTGGAACTTAACACAACAGGCATGGTAGCGCCTAGGAAGCAGAGGCAGGGAGAGTAAAGTTGAGACCAGTGTTGGCGACATAGCAAGTTCAAGACCAGCCTGGGCTACATAAGCAAGTAACTGAAATCAGGAGTCAGAAAGCCTGGCTTTGATTCCCAGCTGGCCACAAATGTGCTGTGTAACAGTGGGAACACCCTGGAGCTCTCTGGCTGCCTGTCTTGTGGATGGAGGGTGAGGGTGACCATACCCTGTACATGCCTAGATAATCAAAAACACACTTTTCCATTCTACAGACGTTTTTATATGAATTGTTTTTAATCTTCATCTTTAAATTACAAACTATACGAGATTTGGAAAGGAGACTGCCAACATTGATCAAAGAATCGGTCCTGTGCCTTTAAGAAGGTCCTCCATTTACTGGTGCTGGTCTAGAGCCTAGGGCCTTAGGCAGGAGCTCGCACTGAGCCACTGCCCAGCCCCATGGGACCTTCTGTCACCCTGATTAGAATTGGTAGACTTTAGCCGTCCACCCACCGTAAACATTATCCCCGCCAATCTTATTCTTAAGAATAAACTTGGTAACCTTGAATGACAGAACTCTGAACACTTTGCTACATCTTCACCTTGGCCTTAGATTTTGGGGTAGCCCCAGTAAAGTGGGGCTCTGGGGCCATAATAAACCCTCACCCCAGTTCCAATGCCAGAAACTGGAACGTGAGCACAGAGGAGAACGAGTGTCTTGGATCACTAAGCCTGTGGCCCTCGGTGCTCAGCTGCTTTCAGGACAGCAAAGCCCACGATGAGCCTCTCTCACCTGGCAGGGCCACCTTCACCTCAGTGCTGCGGCTCACAGCGTGGCTCCCACGGAAGGCACTGCATGTGTAAGAGCCCTCATCCCTGGGCCGCAAGTTGTGGATCAACAGTGTGCCATCTGGGGACTGGTGCACACGACGGCCATCAGCCTGTATCGGCAGTCCATTCCTGGAGGAGACAGAACATTGGGAGAAACATACAGGGCCTGTGGAGACATGCCCTGAGAGGGCTGCGAGATGAGAAAGACATTAATGAGCCAAGGCTATTCCAGAGCTAAACTCTCCCCATGATGGCAGGTAGATGTCACCTCAGGGAAGAGGGGACAGGTGTACTCAATTGGTAAGAGGACATTAGAAGCTGAAGTGGCACAACATCGGAGCTACCAGTTTGCCTTGGACCTACAAAGGCGCCCACTCCAGCTTGTCACTGACAAATGCCAGGCCCCATGTCAGGGGAAAGGTAAATGCACCTTCATGGCACAGGAGAGGATGCCAGTGTCCAGGGAGCCTCCCACAAGAGAGAGGCAGCTGACCTGAGGAGAGGAGACAGCAGCAGGGCTGGCCA